GTGGGGGGGAGATCCCACCTCAGACTCCTCTACCCCCCCCCTTCGGATAGTCCGGCTCTGCTCCAGGCATCCCCGATTCAGACGCTGCTGGTCAGTTTCAGCAGCGGCTGAAAGGGGGAAGCCCGGCACAGAGCAGCTCCAATTGTCCGGCTGCCCGGAGCACTTCTGGGTTCCTGATGGTGCCGGACCATCAGGAGTGCCGGAGCTTTGGATGCTGGACCAATGGAGTTTTACTGTACATATATTTCCTTATTTACTTTCTCCATGTCAGTCATGATTTTATAGACCACTATCATATAAGAACATAAGAACGGCCATACTGGGTCAGACCAATAGTCCATCCAGCCCAGTATCCTGTCTCCCGACAGTGGCCAATACCAGATGTCATGGGGGAGAGGGGAACACAACAGGTAATCCTGATGTGATTCCTTCCTTGTTCCTGTCACCCACCTCCAGGGAAACAGAGACTAGGAACACCATTCCTACCCATCCTGGCTAATAGCCATCCATGGACCTAACCTCCATGAATCTATCTAGCTCTTTTTTGAATCCTGTTAAAATTCTAGCCTTCACGACATCCTCTGGCAAGGAGTTCCATAGGTTGACTGTGTGCTGAGTGAAGAAAAAACTTCCTTTTGTTTGATTTATACCTGCTGCCTATTAATTTCACTTGGTGACCACTAGTTCTTATATTGTTTGTTGACTAAAGATTTAATACACCTGTGTTTAATGATTTTCAAAATTTGAATGTATATTCTAATACAAATAGCAAATTATTAAGTGTGACTTAGTAGTTTGCTTATTTTTGAGTCAATTATGATTTTTTTTTTAGGCCCTAAATTTTTCATAGGCCCTAGGCACTGTGCCTACTGGCTAATCTGAACAGAATAGCAAAAGAATGACAGCTACGCTGAAACTTGCCAACCCTCCCTGATTTGCCTGGGGTCTCCCAAGAATTAAAGACTAAGCTTGAATGAGAGATTACAGGTCATGTGATGAAGTCTCCAGAAATCCGGCCAACCTAAACTGACAACCCGGTGCCTCGGTCAACTAAGGCCGCTTGAAAAACATGGGGCGCCTCAGTCATGCTCCTTCACCGGGCTGAAGTAACGCGGCTGGAAACCGCTCCCAGCGGGGTCCGCGGAGAAGGGCCGGGAGGAAAGACGCCGAGCGGGGCGCTCCCCGCTGCTCGCCCTGGGCCCCGTGCTCCCAGCCTGCGCCAGCCTGGAGC